TATACATAAAATTATTGCATTATAGAATATTTGCAACGGTACAGAGATATAAAGCTTAGTGTCCTAGCTTTATACGAAGATCCAACACACATACAAATAAAGAGAGAGGGGTGTGAGATTCATAAGAGATACTAGAGTTTTAACGTGGAAACCACTGAAAAAGTGGGAAAACCATGGGGTCTGGCCCAGTTTGAATGAATCAAATAGTGTTTATTGTTGATTACAAATGAGGCCCTTCCATGAGAGGAATGTCTTTGCTTGATGTTGTAAATATACATCATATAGATCACATTACAAGGACTTAGTTGGAAGAATCTAGTAATATGAGAATTATTCTCACGAGAGCATGGGCCTGTTCATTTGGCCGACATGATCATAGTCGGGCAACGGTAGTCGGAAGGACAATAATTACGTTCTACGGTAAGAATGGTACAAGAGAGAATAGAGGCTTGTATTATTTTCTTGAGTGTGCAATTTTCTATTTTTTATTTTTATTGTTGTGTGGGTTACCCAATATTATTTTCTTGTTGCTAAACTTATGAATTTGTTAGATAAGCTATGAAGCATGGATAATCTAATGCACATAAAAAACTAATTAATTATCTTGGAATACTTATATTTTCTTGTACTAGTGTTCATGTAAAACACATGTCGAACAAAGACACAGCTCCGACACGCCCAACAAATGTTTGACACTTTTGAAATTATGCCGAAGCCATTTATGTGTAAAATTAAATTTTGACATGAGTCGAAAATGATTTGTGCATTAGCACAATTGCAAGACACAGGCACATAAAAGAAATAAAATTGTGCAAATTTTAAAATTGTAGGGCAACAAAGGATAATTTAAAAAGATACTTATGTGCCCTATCCAATCTCGTGCCCTAGGCATTCCTATATCCTTATCTTCTTTTGCAACGATGAGGATGAAACTCACAGTGACCATCTCAACAGAAACGATCATGCGCATCACCGCCTCTTCTTCTATGATTGTGTGTACATCCCTGCCAATCTTTCATGACATGATAGTTTTTATACATATCCTCATCCAATATAAACGCTGGCCTTTTTTTGCTTATGGATAATTTATTCATAGTAATGTTAGAAATTTGATGACAAATTTGAAGAACATATCATGTTGTTTCTTTTAATTTTTAAAGCCTGCCTTCAAAATCTTATTTAAAAGTTTCACAAATTTTCTTAAAATTCCACCAACACTCGATTATAGGAAAGTTATTATTTTGATCAATAAATAGAGAAGGGTGCGATAATTATAAGAGACACCAAGATTTTTATGTGGAAAACCCTGAAATGAAGAAAAACCACAGGGTCTGGCCTAGTTCAAATAATTTTACTAGTGTTTGTAGTTGATTAAAAATGGTGACCTTCCCCAGAGGGAAGGCATTGGCTCAATGTATCATATATAGCACATTACAAAGTTGGGGTTGGAAGAATCCAATAAAAAGGGAGTCATTCCCAAGTGAATGTTGGTCTGTTCATTTCATTGGCAGGGCTGTATTTGAGCAATGGAGATCAGAAGGACTGCAGTCGGTGGGCAATGAGGGTTGGAGAGAATGAAGCCAGTGGGTGACGGTGGTCGGAGGGACCTTAGTTGATATGTGACGGAGGTTGGAGGGATCATAATTGGCAGGCGATGGAGGTTGAAGGGACTATAGTTTGTGGGTGACGGTGGTCAGAGGGACTATAGATGATGGGCAACGGAGGTTGAGGGACTGTAGAAGGAAAGCGGTAGTGGTCGAAGGGACCGCAGTAGATGAGCTGGGGAGATTTAAGGGACTATAGTATGTGAGTGACGAAGGTACTTAAAGGAACTATAGTCGACACGTGATGGTGGTCAAAGTAATTGTATTCGATAGGCAACGGTGGTCGAGGAACCATAGTCGACGGGCAACGAATGTTAGAAGTATCATAGTCGTCAGGCGATAATAGTCGAATTAAAAGTACTTGGTGGGCGACATTAGTCAAAAGGATCATTGTTGGCAAGCGACGGAGGTCACAGGGTCGACGGGTGACGTTGGTTGGAGGGACCGTAGTCGGCGTACGATGGAGGTCGAAGGGATTATAGTTGGTTGGTGATGATGGACAGAGATACCATAGCCTACATGTGATGGTGGTCAGAGGGATCGTAGCCTATTGGCGACAGTGGTCAGAGGGACCGTGGTTTGCGGGTGATGGTGGTCAGAAGGATCATAGTCTATGGGCATCGGTGGTCTGAGGGATCGTAATTGGCAGGTGGCAAAAGTCGACGTCTAGACGGCGATCTGAAGATGGTTGAGCTAAAGTTCAACGGTGGTCAGCAGCAAGGTGGAAGTTGAGCAGAGGTCAGCAGACAGGAGGTAGTTCGAAAGCCGAACAGTGGTCCGACAATGATCGACGGTGGCTCGCCGGTAGTGGTGTTGGAGCTCTTGAAGCCTCAGAGCTCTCTCTAATCTCAAGCCATAAGATTCCTCTCATGTAGAGAGTGAAAGTCTATTTTTAGATTTTTGAGAGTGGCATACCCCATAAATATGATGAAGATCATGGCAGGTTCTGAGTACTCCATCATATGGCCCGTATTGCATGGTTCCCCGGATTACATTATATTTTTTAAGTGTTTAAGTGCCTTAATGATGTTAGAATTTTGCGATCTTGAGCTTGTTGGATTCGTCTCGTTGAGCCGTTTGATTCAACTATAAGCATGCCATATATGGATATCAGTTTATCATCCAATCTAGAGCTGCAAGCAAACCAAGTGTTTGATGAGCTACTCGTTGCTCGATTCAATTAAAGCTTGTTTGTGATCGTTTAACTAACTAAACAAACAAACTTGAACAACATTTTTAATACTCGATCCTTAAATAAACAAGCTTGAACACTGATGTGTTCGATTCATTTATGTTCATGAACAACATTATTTAAAACTTGTGAACATGCTAGACATTAAGCTCGATTGGTGTTTGATTCAAACTCGTAAATAAGCTCAATAAAAGCTCGATTAATATTTAATTATAAAATTGATGAATATACATAATATTAATATTTTAATTTAAAATAACATAATGATATAGTTATTTTTAATTAATAAATTTTAAAAGTAATTAAATATTATAATATACATTATAGTTTTAATTTTCTTACAACTGCTAATTTATTATATTACATCGTTCGATCTTGCTCATTTGATAGCTCAAGAATACTGATTAGATTTGTTCATGAACATACTTGTTTGATAGTTTAAACAAATTAACTAAATATGTACATGATTAATGATTGTTTGTTTAAAGCTTGATAAACATTAAACGAATTGAATATGAACCAAACATGAACACCATTAATTTAAACTTACCAAACATAAACACAAAGAATAAAGCTCGAATCAAACACAAACCGAACTTGAACAAGCTAATAAAAAACGAACTCAAACATGAACACTCACATACTCGGCTCAGTTTGATTCGTTTGCAGCACTAATCCAATCAATACTTTGAGCCCTCCAAATATGCTTCAGACTCTTAATTCAGACCCATTTGGCCTCGGATTGGATCGATTTTGGTGTCATTGGGTTCATCTCTTCGATACGTTCAATTTGGATAAGTTTACTGAAATTAGAGTTTGGATTGTCCCAAATTTAATTTTTAAAAATTTACAATAAATATGCCTCGAGATTGATGCCCGATGAAAGATATATATAGTCTATATAAGTGAGCTCTTTAACAAGTTAAACAGGTTTGAAGCATCCCTTTATGTATTACTTATATCAAGATATCAAGCCATGATTCAAGAACTTAGAAAATATCTTTTGTCTCCATAGGCACACATCAGCTAAAGAATAAAAGTTCTAAAAATAAATTTCAGGCCTTATTTAAAAAACTTTCATTTAAAACAAAGGCTACAAATTTGCAAAATTAGTCACTATAGAACCCATAAAATCGATTATGTTTAAACAATTTTACTTTATACTCCTGCTGGTATAAGAGCATCAAAATTTAAATAATTTGGGCTGAAACTGTAATCACAGGGTTGAAATTCAAATTTCTCATTTAAAACAGAAGATAATATGAATTTATTGATTAATAGAAAGAGAAAAAGAAATATTGGTCCGACAAGGTTCCATTATTTGAAACAATTATACACTTGCTCTTAGAATGAGTTCAATTTTATTCTCCAAACTGTAGATTGCGAATGACTTGCTAGAGCTGCTCTGTCCATACAGATATTGCACATAATCAAAAATGAAAATCAATTCACTACTGGAAAATCGTCCATTACCAATAGAATTTTCGGCGGATTTTCTGTGAATGATTTTCCTGTGGAGTTTTCTGCAGAATTTTATTGCTGGAAAATTTTTGCAAAGCCCGTTTTATGGGAGAAAACCGGAAATCCACCAAAAAAATCCGCCGATAAAACGTGATTTTCCAATAGCGACTTAACATATTTCAAAAGAATATTATTTAAAATTCATTATTAACAGAATAGTAGGCATGCAATATAAAATACATAAAAAAATATTGATGTATTTAAAAACTTTTAAATTTGCTTTAAGAAACACTGATTGATCCTTAGAACACTTGCCTTGATCATCTCCTCAAAAACAGTTTTTGCACAGGATACCTCTCTCTCTCAATCGATCTCTTTGATAAGCATTTAACGTACCATCTTGTATGCAAGGTGGAACCTTCCTACCTCTGCTAAGTACGTAATTCCCTGTTGCATTTCTATATGCAAAATTATTAATTTTTCTTTGATACTAATTGCAAAAGCAAAAAAAAAAAAAAAATCCAACCTAGAATGCCATTGTATGTAGAGATGCTTTCACAATGTAAAATGACATCGTGTAGCATTTGATAGATTTGATGCACGATCTCCTCAATGTGAAAAATAATTATTTTTTTTCTAGTATGCTAGCTTATCATTCCCTGTAAAGAAACTCCTATATAGTTCTAAGATCATTCAAGCTTTCTTCGCATTCCATATACATAATATTGTTTTCTTTGCCCTCTATGGAAGTCTCCTTCTCTACCGCAAGCTTTAATATTCCACTCTTATTCTTCTTTAGCATTGCTTCTTTTCTCCTAGTTCACGGACAGCTTCCGTTGCCCATTACTGACACCATTGACATTCAGCATCATAAGGTCCATATCGTTCATGTTCAAAAGCCAAGTGTAAAAAAGTTCCAGCTCTTCAAACATAGAAAAAGTTGGTACCAGTCTTTCTTGCCTAATGACACCCTCTTCTCCGGCGAGCCACGCCTGGTCTATGCTTATCGCCAAGTGATCACAGGATTCGCCGCTTGGCTTACCCAAGAAGAGCTGAAGTCCATTGAATCAATGGATGGGTTTCTCCTGGCTCACCAAGATGCCACCCTCCAGCACCGCACGACATACACCCCAAAATTCCTCGGCCTCGATAGGGCGCAGGGCATGTGGTATGATTCCGGGTATGGCCAAGGTCAAATCATTGCTGTCATTGATAGCGGGGTGAAGCCCACCCACCCTTCCTTCGGCGGCCATGCCATGCCGCCGCCTCCACCAAAGTGGAGTGGCACTTGCTATTGGGGCCCTCCAATCTGTAACAACAAACTCATCGGGGCACAGGGCTTCGGAGGTGGGAGCTCAATCGATCCAATAGACAATCATGGTCACGGCTCCCACTGTGCAAGTATTGCAGCCGGTAACTTTGTCGATAATGCAAATGTTCTTGGTCAAGCTCATGGCACGGCCGCTGGTATTGCACCAAAGGCCCACCTCGCCATCTACAAGGCAACCACAAGTAGCGCCTTGCTTAAATCCATAGATGAGGCCATTCGCAACCATGTTGACGTGATGTCCATTTCCCAAGGCGACAAATCACCAAACTTTGATGCGAACAGGATTGTAATAGGCTCGTTTGCAGCAATCACAAAGGATATTGTCACCTGCGCGGCGGGGCCAAATGACCCACGGGTTAGTAGAATTGATAATGATGCCCCCTGGATCATAACCGTTGGTGCAGCCTCCACTGATAGAAGAATAACAGCCACTGTAAAGCTTGGCGATGGGCGAGAGTTCGATGGCGAATCAGCCTATCAGCCCAGCAATTATAACTCACCACAACTACCACTAGTGAAAGGCTTACCCAACGTGAAAGGAAAGATATTATTCAATAACTCAGTAATAGACAACACTGCGGCAGGTGCCCTTGTCCTAAAACATGGAGGGGAGGGTTTGGTTGTCTTGGGTTTCCTTGGAAATTTAACAATTGCACAACCTCATGTGCTCCCAGCCACGTTTATTACCCAATATGCAGGACAACAACTTGTAAAGTATGCAACCTCTACACCTAATCCGACCGCATCAATTATCTTTAAAGGTACACAATTTGGTGTCCGGCCCTCACCAACTGTTGGCTCATTTTCGGGTCGAGGCCCTAGTCTTCGCAACGGGGGCATCATAAAGCCTAATGTAATTGCGCCAGGCGTCAACATCCTTGCAGCATGGCCATTTGATATTGTCATAAACCACACAAGCACACATGAAAAGTTCAGTTTTCAATTCGGCGCCTCTATGGCCACTCCACATGTAGCTGGTCTTGTTGCTCTTCTCAAGAGCAACCATCCTACGTGGTCAGCTGCAGCAATAAAGTCGGCCATCATGACAACGGCTCGCACTACTGATAATGAAGGAAAACCTATTACAGATCAGGCTGATGGGAAGAAAGCCAAAGTGTTTGCTACAGGATCAGGTCTTATCGACCCGGAGGCAGCTAATAATCCGGGTCTCATTTATGATATCCAACCCCATGACTACATCCGTTACCTTTGTGGCTTGGGCTTGTTTGATGATAAGAAAATTAATGCCATAGTTCGGGGAAAGATAACTTGCTCTACCATTCGTAGCATCAAAGCAGAGGAACTAAACTATCCTTCCATAGGAGTGTCTCTTGGTGCTAGCTCTGCACCAAAAACTGTGAGTAGAACAGTGACAAATGTTGGAGATGCTGGCACTACCTACACTGTGGATTTTGATGACCCGAAAGGTGTCAATATTGTGGTTTCTCCAAAAGTCCTTCGCTTCAACAAAGTTGGGGAGACGAAGAGTTTTAACATCACGCTAAGCTTTAAAAGCGTTCCCTTGCCAGCTGGTGAAGTTTCAGAAGGGAAATTATCATGGGTTTCTGGCAAATACCTTGTGAGGATTCCAATTGCAGTCACATTCGTCTGATAAATCATTCTTCCTGAATATTTATTTCTATAAACTGTTAGAAATATAAATAAAAGATTAATTAGCTAATTAATGTCTTGGAGTACTTAAAAAAGTCTACATTGTTATGAAAATCTCTAGAATAAGTTATATGGCATGAAGTAATTGAAAATTCTATTTTAAAAAATAAAAAATCCTCCATGTACTACTAGGCATAGAAAATTATACATGAAGATTATTGCTGAAGTTTATTATCTAGAATAAGCTCGATTCTAGTTGGATCTAGAATTCGTTGAGTACTTGTATCGATAAGTCTTATGATATGTCATTTTATGAAATTTAAATTCAAGAGCAAATGGTTCCACACATCAACTCGAGTACATTCTCTCTCCATTAGATACACAACATTTCTCTCTCTCTCTCTCTCTCTCTCTCTCTCTCTCTCTCTCTCTCTCTCTTCCTCTATCCTCTACACAAAATTTCTATTACAATGATATCAAAGCAAGTTTTATGGGAAGTTGGTGAGCATCATGAACCTCTTAGTGAATCTGTCTCATTAAGGACAACGATGAAAATTGAAGCATTTGAATGAAGATCTTGTTTGGCTCATAAGGGGAGGTAGTAGAAACTTAATTGATAAACCGAGTTGCAAGATGGAGTAAAATTATCGGCAACTCAAATGAACTCCATGCATGGAGAAATGTAGTAAGAATGATCACACAGCAATCTTTTTCATTGAGCTTAAAAAAAAATCTAACTAACAATTAGTTTAAAAAAAAATCTAACTAACAATTAGATTATACATGCATGGAGAAATAGTTTTAGTCGATAATCTTTGAATGTACAATATCATTTAAAAAAAAAAATCTAACTAACAATTATATATTAAAAATCAAACTATAAAAAATAGCTAAATTAAGTAATTAATTCATATCACAACATAATAAGTATATGTGGCATTTTATTAATTAAGCTCATATGTCTGATACCCATAAGAAAAATGTATTCTATAATAGTTAAGAAAATTATAGTTTGATTTTTAATATATGCATCCTAACTTGTCACAACAATCCATAAGTCATACATTATAAGGCTTTTGCATCAAACTATCAAAGCGACCTAGCATAGATCAACAATGGTGAATGTGAAATTATTATGTGCGGTCACCGGATGTCGTACGGAGGTGAATTTGAACGTGCCACGTCACTATTTTGATGTGCACTGGTATCAGGTACAACTGTGTACCAGGTGACGTGACACATCCTGATTTGTCTCCGCACCATCCGATGATCGCACGTAATAATATATGATGATGAAGGAGTTGTTGTATCTAAATGGATAATTATGACCTATCACAACATCCAAATGAGTTTAAAATCTTGATGTGATTGAGGCCAACTCATATATTGTGATGGCCTATCATGTGAACTAATCTCAAGTATTCATTTAAGCTATGGTCTACAACCTTAGCATTGGATTTTTAAAATTAATTTCAAAGATATATTTTGACATTGTAGATAGAGGTTTTAAAATAAATATATATTTATTCATAGTTTTTTAAAAAATAGAAATTAAAAGGTTTTTTAAAAGAGTTAGCCTCCCATATGGATGAAAATAGTTAATTCAATTTAAAAAATTTATTAAGGTGGGATATCGATCTTAGCCTATTTATGTGCCTTGGTAATCATAAGAGATTTGGTTATGATGGCATGATTTTCATTATCAAGTAAATCTTAACCCAATAATGATACTCAATGTACAATAGCAAGAGGCAAGTTCTAAAGCTAAGGGTGGAACCTGCATAACTGATCTATGCAAAACTTAACTCGTCCATATGTAAATGCAACAACATTTTGGAAAGTTAGTTGAAACCTTCAACTAAGGTTAACGAATTCAAGCATTCTAATGCAGTATAAAAATACTATTAAAAAAAAAAAGGATTTGAACATTAAGAAAGTTCTCTTAGTGTTTGGAGTGCAAAGGTTAGTTTAAGTATAGATAATCTATCCAATAAAAAACGAATAATTTGAGTATATGTGTAAATCCAAATTAAAAAAGAACCCAACAAGAGGGTATAATTGAATGACAGAATTATTTAGTAAAAAATGCATGACTAAGTTATGACATAACTTAACGAAAAGGGTATGGCCAAGTCTATAAGAAATATACTAGAATAACATAAAATTGAAGATATTATAGCCAAAAAGCATGACTATAGTCAAAAGAGCATTACTATTTCAATGATAGATCTAACCAAAATAATATGATTAGAGTAAAAAATGTATATGATCAAATAAAGGAGATATCAAGTTAAAAGAGCAACATTAGATATGTAACGTCCCAGAATTAAATTTAAAAGAATTGGTTATCTTCTTAATTAGTCAACTAGAACTTTTATAAAGCATCACGTTAATAAATTTATATCAATGAAAATAACTAACAACTATATACTTCAAAATATTGCACAATATTCCTAAAATTAATATATAATAGCTAGGAAATCAATATAATTATTACTCTATCATAAACTTCTAACTACAAAATAATAAAAGAATACATATAGATAATTACAAAAAATTTGAAGATCTATGACAATCTCACTCAAACTGCTCCTAACCCCTTCTCTAACTTGAAATACATATAATAAGCATAAAAGTCTAGCAAATAATCAAAATTCTATCACTACTTTCAATGCAGGGTAAAAGAATCAATATGTATATTTAATACTAGTCAAAATTAATCATCACTTAATAAAAGCAATAAAACTCTCAAAAATTAATAATAATAATAATATTTTTAATTATATAATTTAATCCATTATCAATATAAAATTCATATAAATCCTATTTTGGGGCTTTAAAAATTATTTAAAAACTATGTATAAATTAGTTTATTTTATTTAGAAAATACTAATGAAATCAATTTGTAACATAGACACGTGATGGTCCCAAAATCTTCACTTGTACCGACAAATATCAATTTAATAAGGATGTGCACCGGTGGCATAATATTATAAAAAAATTAATATAATTAAAACACAATAATATCTAATTTATAGAGAATACAATTTATTATTTGAACTTAAAAAGATTCCTTAAAAAATTATTTATTTGTATCAAAATACATGTTATTATAATTTCCCCACCTTAAAAAAAATACCACCCTCGATATTTCCACGAAAAAAACAGATCAATAAGAATAAATTTAATTCATAATTCTGTTAAAATAACTCAATATGATTCAAACATATATCAAAACTAATAAATCAATTAAAATTCATTCAAATTCTCTCCAAAATAATGTATTCAATCAATATTCATGAATTCATTTAAAATAATCATACACCCATATATCATTCAAGCATAATATACTATGCAAATTATTAATCAATCAATTTAAGGATTAAAAATTCTACCAGTGGATCCTCCAGCCACATTCTCATCATCTTGTCGGATCAAACTATAAACTTTGGATCATATAGGTGGCAGTATTTGTGTAGAAAATTTTGTAGGTGGTGTAGCAGACTATGTATATCCTCTTTAACTTTCAACCATTCTTCTTCTATATATCCCATTATTTATTCTATTCTCTAAATCCCATTATACCTTATCGATCTATAACCTTACCTAGCTTGCTCCCCTCTTAATTTAGATCTTATCCCCTATTATTATTGTGAAAAATCAACCATTTGGTGCCATCGTTGCCCACATATAAAACACTAACCAATCATCAGAAAACACAATCCCCTATGTCTCGACTAATTCATGTGATGCTAATTGAGAGTTATAAGGAGTTATTACTTTCCAACAAGCAAAGTGTGATAACTTTATTTACTGAGCCAACAAGTTACTGATACTAACACTGATATTTAAAAAACAGCATTATAGTAAGGACTTTTACTTATTTTATATAACTATTAGAATGCATGCTATTAAATCACTACCACTGTATCGCTTTACTATTACTTCAACCCATGATGTTAATGTTATTGTTGTTCTATTATTATTAATATGCTGATCGCGTGATGTATATTGAACATGTGTACTAGATGCTGACACTGAGTGGACATTGACATGGTATTTATGAGCATGTGATACACGTATACAACTATTTTTATATACTTTATTGCATTGACATAATTTTGATAGTATTTACTAATATTTTGATTTGATGTTTTATAGAATTTATATAATGATTGTAGTTTTGATATAATGATTGTTTTAGTGACTTGAGAGTTATACTAGTTTACTAATTTCTCTACTGTATTACTGTATGATCATGTGAATACTACTATTATAATTTCACTGTTGACATATATATTATACTTTTATATTAATTGTGTTGAGTTCACTTATAGGCTTTGGTGACCAATTGGGCTTTTTAGTTTATTCTATTTTGTTAAATATTTTTTAGATCAGGGCAGATGATCAGATGTTTAAGATTGATCAGATAATGATTTCTCATGTTTACTTTCTTTTTATTTTAGTTATTCTTTTGTACTCAGGATAAAATAATAGTTGACGCCTTCTACAGGATCTGTGTACCTGGAACAGAAAAATACAAGTAATGGCAAGCGAAAAACCAGGATTCGGATAAGAATACCTCTGTATTCTGGTTTGTATTACTGTTGTAATAAGGAAGAAGACAACTGAGCTCCTTTCTCTCTTTTTCCTCTATGTATAAGCACCTTTTTCTAAATACTATATTTGTAAAAAGTAATGAAAAAGGCTGTAACTAACAGCTAAATAGAAAATAGTAAATAGAGCAGTGGGAGACTAGGTGGTTCGTTATGGGGGTAACGTGTGTCGCCAGAACACATAACTATCCTGCATTGCATCAGTCCTCCCCGGCTTCGGAAGAGCTCGACTCCGACGAGCTGATTGCAATGAGTGCACCGTCTGCGGGTATGTATGGTGAAATGTCGGAGACGTTGAAGGTGGAAGTTGTGTGACAGTCAGCTGGTAATTCGACGCTGTATGCATTGTCGTTGATTTTGGCGGTGATAGGTACCGGGCCAAGCT